TTTCATGATTTTAATTCATTTTTGCACAAAATTTATTATTTTGGGTGTTATAAATATGTATATACAGAGCTAGAAGCTTCTACAACCGGTTTAGCCCCAACAGACTCCGATGTACAACAACTATTTCTTCCTTATCGAGGATTTTGTAGCCGAAAAGGGGTATGCAATCCTTAATTTCTTTTCATAATACTTAATTTTTTTGGGTTGTTTTACAACGTTTGTAAAAAAATTTCGTCTATTGTAGATAGGCGCGTTGGAGGTAGTACTTCATGATATCGATGTTCCAAGTGCACTTGTTAACTATATCGAGCATAACAACCTTGGCAATATTGTTGTTGGGGCCTCGAATCGTAACGCTATCACAAGGTTGTTCCTTATTCAAGGTTGTTTATTTGTTCTTCATGACATCAATTAAGAATTTAAGATGAATTTGTTGAGGCTATTTCCTTATGTTTGTTTGCAAACTTGATATTTAGAAGTACAAGAAATCTTGAATGTATCGATGGATTCCTCGAGGTTATCATGTTTGTTTATATGAAAAAGCAATGGAAAAATAAAGCCAGAAATTAATGTTATATGCATGGTCTATTTTGTAAATTGAAATATTAATAGATTTTCGTTACCAAAGCTCCCAAATTAGTTACTCTTTATTGATGTTTAAAAACAATTTCAGGGAAACTTAAAATAAAAAAAAAATAAAAAAAACACCTAAAAAAGTTTGTATGATTGGAATTTTTTTTTTTTTTTTTTCTAAATCCGTCATGATTATAATTTTGCGCAATTCTACAAGAACTATAATTTTGCAAGACATGTGATTCTGTTCTGTTTGATATATATATATACAGGAGATTTAAAGCAGCAGATGTTCCAACCAGCCTTGAAAAATCAGCACCAGATTTTTGTGCAGTATATGTGATATACAAAGGGAAGGTGCAATCGATGCGACCTTCTAACGTGTGTCTAATGCCTACGGCCCCTATCGCGGCTACTGGACGGTCAAGTTTAAACTCCGGAACCTCAACTTACAGGACCACCAATTCCAAGACTAGTTTTGGCAATAGTAGTGTGTCAAGTGGTACATCGCGGACGAGCACGGTGCATTCGGAGAGGAATTACTCTTCCTCTAGTAACCCTGTTACGCCTGTTGGTGGTGCTGATTTATCGTCAATTTACCATCGTATGACTCATGATCCTCACTACCTTAAACCACAAAGTATACGCAAGAGTACTGAATCGCCAAATAAGCATCGTGTGACATCTAATAGTCGTTACAATAACCCGAGAATTCGACATGAAATCGACTTCCCAAGTTACCAGCAGCAATATCCTTACTATAGTAGGAGCTCTGATAACTCCTCGAATAATTCTTCTACTTTATATCAAATTATGGGACAACCACCTCTTCCATATAGTGGTACAAGCACAGATAATAACTCCAGGTAATTAAACTCGTTAAATGTATGTTTCTATAGAACATGTTACAAACAAGGCTTAATTTTCTTGGATAGATCAAGTTGTAGGCCTAAAAGAAAACAATCGAGTTATGTGTATGTTTGTGTTGATGTGCAGAAACTCAAATTCTTATTCGAGTAGCGAAACCATTAGTACACCAGATAGATACAATCAAGGACGAAATCCTTCGTATTGTGGTTCCAACCACAATAGTTTTGAGTCTGCTACGTCAGTTGAATATAGTGAGCAACAGCCTAATTCAACCACGAGTTCCCAAAACTCATCCTCGGTAAGCTATTCGTTGTCATTTAAAAATCATTAGTCGTGCTATAACATATATTTTTTTGATGATATGTATGCACCCCTTCTGTCTCTATTTGTTCTTATGTACGAAGAACAAATAGAGACAGGGAAGTATAAGGCGCAAGCCAAGGACTATGAGATAATGTGATTGTATGTCAAAGATGCAATGCTTAATAAAGATATATGGTTCATTTTCTTTCTTTGAAGGATGAGCTAGAAGCTGAGATGGCGAGACTAAAGCTTGAAATAAAGAACACGATGGACCTTTATCATTCGATTTGCGAGCAAGCAAATGTGGCAAAGCAACAGGTAATTTGTAATATAATGCATTTTGATCTGAGTTATATGTTTAACAGTACAAACTAGAAATCTTGTTTCAATTCGTTATATCTTTTGTTCTTAGGCTGATTATATTCAAAGTGGAGATGATGATATTGAGGAGATCAAGCTAGCAAGAGAGGCTGCATTGGTAGTAGCAGATCTTGAGCGACTAAAATGCCAAGCCGCGATGGATGCAGCACAACTATCAGAACGATTAGTAGATATGGAGGGTCGTAAGAGAAAATTGGCTGAGAAGAAAGCTGCAAAACAGGATGAAGATGATATAAGAAGATCAGGAAACAAATCAAGCCAATTAGTCAGCTATCGATTGTACTCGTTGAAAGAGATTGAAGTTGGAACTAATTACTTCTCTAGTTCGTTGAAGATTGGTGAAGGAGGGTATGGACCCGTGTACAAAGCCATACTTCAGCACACCCCTGTCGCGATCAAGGTTCTAAGGCCAAATGTATCCCAAGGACTAAAACAATTTCAACAAGAGGTAATTTAACAAATTAGTACTTAGTATGAGTTAATAAATAATTGTGTCACATTACAAAGTGGTGAAGCTGTTTTAAGTCTTTTAACAATATCAAGTCGTGAAAGTAAAATTATACTGTACCTCATTCAAGGCACCAAAATAGATAGATAGTTAAAATTGATCCACTGAAAATTTGTTTGTATTGTTATTGTAGATTGAGGTACTCGGACGAATGAGACACCCTAACATGGTACTCCTCCTAGGAGCATGTCCAGAGTACGGGTGCCTAGTATACGAGCACATGGAGAATGGAAGCCTAGAAGACAGGTTGTTCCGCAAGAACAACACACCTCCCATCCCTTGGAAGACTCGATTCAAGATTGCAGCCGAGATAGGAACATCCCTCCTCTTCCTACACGAGGCAAAGCCAGAGCCTATGGTACATAGGGACTTAAAACCGGCTAACATTCTCCTAGACTCGAACTACACGAGCAAGATAGGTGATGTAGGGTTGGCACGATTAGTACCTCCAACAGTCGCGAATCAAATGACTCAATACCATTTGACTGCCGCAGCTGGTACATTTTGCTACATAGATCCGGAGTATCAACAAACAGGACAACTTGGTACAAAGTCTGACATCTATTCATTAGGGATAATTTTACTTCAGTTGCTCACTGCAAGGCATCCTATGGCATTGTCCTACCATGTGGAAGAGGCCATCGAGGCCGGTAAATTCGAGGAAATGCTCGATCCAGCCGTGTCTAATTGGCCCTTCCAAGAGTCTTTGGCAATGGCTCAATTGGCTCTCAAGTGTACCGAGCTTCGAAAGAAGGATAGACCTGATTTGGACTCTGTTGTTTTGCCGGAGTTAACCCGGCTAAGAGATTTAACTATGAGTTAATAATTATTTCTCTTTTTCTCTTTTCCTTTTTACATTTTTGGGAAGTGAGATTATAGAAATTATCCTTTCCTTATCTTTAATCATATACTCCGTACTGTATATGTTCTTGATCTTGTACGTACATTTATTGCTTACCTTCGTACTGACTATGTATTTGTACATGAGGGAATATACATCGCTCCACTTACGGATATTTACACAATAATCTAACATAATCACATAGAACCTCGGTAACTCTAACCCAACTTACATAAATCATATCAATTCTTCTAAACTTTGCTAATTATGACATATAAAATAAAAGATCGCCTCTTTCTATAGAAAATTCTATGTATAAGTTATGGTGATTGGGACTATACATGGTAGGGAGGACCCGTGTTCGACCCCCCCGCAACAACAATTGGGAGGGGATTAGAACCTAACCACTCAATACTGATCCCTAAATTCGGATTAGCCCAAAGGGTGAACCGGGTGGAACACAAAAAAAAAAAGGAAAAAAAATAATAAATACCGAATTATATTGTAGCACGAATTTTTTACCAAAAGAGAGGACATGAAATTTAGATTTATATCCTATTATCCTACAATAAAAAATTGATAAGATCGATCTTTCTTGGTAACGGAAGCATTCAACACACACGGTGTTTGAGAGAGAGACGGACATATTCGCCATTCACATATATATATATATATATGCTGACCTAATGTGTGTGTGCATCGCATAAAATAACTAATACAAGTATAAGTATAGATGATTGAATTAAAATACTCTGTATCCCTTGATTCAAATTTTGTTGTAACATAATTGATTCAAATTATACTAGTGCATGTAGTAACAATTTACAAGTTCGGAGTGTTTATTATCTATACACAATGAGCCAAAGGGTACAATAATATTGATTTTTCAATCAAATGAAATTGAGAATAAGAGTATAACGTTAGCGTGTTTATATTCACCATCATTCAATACTTCGTATAAATGCGAGAAAACTTATAATCAAGTACTCGAACTTGATCTAGGAGTGCATATTGTATAAGGCTAAGATACATTAGACATAATGAATGAATTGTACTTTGGTATAGAGATGGTAGGAATTTTAAAACAATGACAAAATTAGAAAAGGATAATTAAATATAGTTATATATTTATGACTCATAATATTTTTTCATATTTTGCCAAATATAGACGTAAAATGAGATTTGTTCTCGCTTGACTCTAATAAATGATAAGTGTACAATAAAAATAGATATCTTAAGTTAAAAATGGAAAACTCAATTCCCGAATTTTTTTTTTCACAGATTGAGAGAGAGAAAAGAAACAAAAGAGGAAAAAAAAAAGTTTGTAGATTGCAGAGAAAAAGAGGACGGAGGAGGAAAAAGGGTTGTATGCAAAATTGAAATTTCAACTCAAATAAATTCAATTTATTTGAGTTGAAATTTCATGCATATATATTTTGGTTGAATTCTTGAATTTACGAATAAGATTGGGTAAAATATTAAAGTAAGCTGAAATAATTTATTGATTTCGATTTAATTAGATCAATGGCTATACCGGAGCCCTTAGAATTGGGGCATAATAGTGTTGCCATTGCCATTGATAAGGGGAAGAATAGTCAATCAGCTGTACAATGGACCGTTGATCAATTTTTGAAAGGATCAAAAGACTTCACTGTTGTCCTTGTTCATGTTAAAACCCACAATTATCATTCTCGTAAGTATATTATTATGCCGTTGGTATTTTATTACTCTCTCGGTTTCTGAATGAATTAAATGATGTTTTCATCACACAAATTCTAACAAAAGAAATTGCCATCTAAAATATCATTAGAATTTAAATAGTATTTTTAGTTTCTTATATATATCTATGTATTTGATCGAAAAACATTGAATGATCAATGTCCGACCTCATAAAACTCTAAAATAAATTATAAATTTATTTAGAAACATAGAGATTGAATATTATATGAAAATAGATTGATTGACAAATTGGCCTTATTGTTATATTTTTTGAGGGTTTGAAGAAATAAAAGTGCATGCAAAATTGCAAATCTATTTATTTATTTAGGTTATTCTGTATTGAATTTAGCACTTGTGTTTATTTATTGGTTCATTAAGAATTAGTGAAGTATTTTTGTAAGTTGGGTGTATGCAGAGACGAATTATGGTCCTACTGGTTCAACCCCATCCGACTCTGAAGTGAAACAACTATTTCTTCCTTACCGTGGATATTGTGGTCGAAAAGGGGTAAATAATTCGATCACAATCTAAATTATACATCAAATATCCAATAAGCTGCCATTAATATAACCGGTTAAATACTCCCTTTTCCTGTAATTAGAAAACTTTTAGAGACAAAAAAAGTAATAATTTAATTTATTATATTCTTTATTAGATAAGTGCGTACGAGGTGGTACTCCATGATATCGATGTGGCAAGTGCACTTATCAGTTACATTGCGGAACACTCCATTGGCAATATTGTTGTTGGCGCTTCTAACCTCAACGCTTTTACAAGGTCATCTTTCCTAAAGCTCTATATTTAATACGTAGTATTGGGCTTAAAATCCATATAGGATTATCTTGCTTATTGAAAATTTTATTATCAAATGAACATAGAATTATTAACAATATACTTGAAAAAGAATGTAAATGAAAATGGTTTTTTTTTTCGTTGAGATAGGAGGTTTAGGCCGCAAGATGTACCTACAAGTTTGGAAAAATCAGCACCGGACTTTTGCACCGTATATGTTATCTACAAAGGAAAGATACACTCAATGCGTGCTTCTAATATTTGTCAAGTACCGTCTTCTAATTTGAACGCCAAAACCACAAGGTCTAACAAGTCTGGAAGCTCTAAGTCTAGTTACAGCAATGGCACCGACAATCAATCCAACACCTCAGGCCATTCGTCTTCTAGATCACAAGGATCTTCCAGATCGAAAGGTATGGGGCAATCAAATAGTCCATACAGGAGCACTAGAAATGATAATAATGCCACCAGGTAATATTTTATGATTGAGTTTTTGTAAAACTCTTTCTACTAAATTTACCATACTGGTATAAAAAAAAAAAGGCAACATATATATTAGACTTCGTATTTGGTTGTTTACAACTCTTGACACAAACATGACTGTACATTAAGTTACCACGCACAGTTTCTAATCACCTACTCGATCATTGTCTTCCAGAGCGCAAGGTACAGGGCGTCCAACTAGTCCATACAACAACCCGGCTAGTCCATACAACAACCCTGCTAGTCCGTACAACAACCGTATAGGTAGTCCATACAACAACCCTATAGGTACTCCGTACAACAACCCTATAGGTAGTCCATACAACAACACTAAAGAAGATAATTCCTACAGGTAAATGCTCTAATGATCGAGTTTGTTTATAGACTATCGATTTACTATAATTAATAACAATTGAGTATGAGCTCCTTTGATGATTTATCTTCTAGATTTCAAGGTATGGAGCAACCAACTACTCGTGCTCATAACGCCAACAACTTCGACAACCCCTCTAGGTAGTACGAAAATTAAGTCTGTTTTGAGCTTCCCTTGTAGATTTGGTAAAAATTGACTCGACCTCAAAAAATTAAGCTATGTTGGTTGTTCATCATTAGATCGCCGGATAAAGGGCAAACTTCTAAACATCGACACAGCTCAAGTTTTGAAAATTCATTGCGGTAAGAATGTTTTAACCATCTTTCCTCTTCTATAATAACAAGGGTAGAATAGTGTAATTCTCCTTGATTGGAAACTTCTCATTCATTCAATATATATAGGTATTTACAAACCTAATTATGAGAGTCCTAAATTACACAAAATATATCTTACAGAATATTAAAAAGATAATATATATTAACCTATTATCTATAAAAAAGTAGCTTTTAAAATACTTATCATTTGAACTTTCATCTTGTAGACTTCAAAACATGGGGCAACCACCTACACATCCACACAACAATAATAGCTTCGATAATACTCCAAGGTTTGTAATGTGTGTTGTTGACTTTCATCGGAAGTTTCTTTCCAATATGTTTGACAAAATTGTCTCAATCAGAAGAGTGGAAAAAAAAAAAAAGAAAAGAAAAGGGTTCCATATAGTATGACTATAATAGTAATTTCACTTTATGCCTTAAGTTCACAAATTCGATCGATCCCTACTATTATGTTTGCAGGAACCATAATCGACAGGGTAGCGGCGGCAAGCCTAGTGAAAACAATGAGCCACGTTCTCGAACATTGTCAAGAAGTCAAAGCTTCGCTTCAGTAAGCATTACCCTATATCATGCTAAAAAAGAGTAAAAGACTGTTTGCATCATGGTGAATTGTTAATTTGTTAGGATTACATTATACACAAGCCTAGGAAAACTGTTCCGTGCAAGTATCAAATGACACCCATACTGAAACATACCGTAAATTTAACATGACTAATCTTAGATGATTCTTAATAACAAGCTAAGCGACCTATTTGGCAACTAAATCGTACAGAGTAGTTGATTTAATTTGATATAACCAATTCAACTTGAAACCAAACCAAATGACACATTACCAAAATATGACCTAAATCGAAGTGATTCAAATTGAACTAGGTGCGGATGACTTATTTGCATCCTCTAATTGTACAGAGTTATTTGTTATACGTATCATTGTGTTCAACAAATACAAGTATATAATCAAAAATCGTAAGACATGCATGCAACACTTGGTTTTAGTGTTAAAGATGAATAATACAACCCAAATGATCCATTGGCTTTTTATTAAAGGATGAGCTGGATGATGAAATGAGGCAATTGAAGCTCGAAGTTAAGCAAACAATGGAACTCTATCATACAATATGCAAGCAATCTGCAACGGCAAAGCAACATGTAAATTCGATCATAAGAAGCTTTTTAAGCAAACTTCTTTTAATATTATTGTAACATATTATTACACTGTACTATAAGATCTAATTTTTATGTTTTTTTTTGTTGGTTTTCAAGGATGAGCTTCTTCAAAGTATAGGAAATGAAGACAGCATTGAGAATATAAAGCTAGCAAGAGAGGGCGCGATGATTGTGGCAGAATTAGAACGACAAAAATGTCAAGCAGCATTGAACGCTGCACAGATGACAGAACGATTAATCGAAATGGAGACTCGAAAAAGAAAAATTGTGGAGGAGAGAGCCGCTAAACAAGAAGAGAATGGACAGAGAACAAGAAGCTCTAGCCAAGTTAGCCATCGAGAATACACCTTTAAAGAGATTGAAGTTGCAACGAATAATTTCTCGGATACATTGAAGATCGGGGAAGGAGGGTATGGACCTGTCTATCGAGCTGTTCTTCAGCATACCCCTGTTGCAATTAAGGTTTTGAGGCCAGATGCATCACAAGGACTTAAGCAATTTCAACAGGAGGTAGTCGATTTACCAAAACTATATCTGATAGAGTATTAAAAATATTTTTGGGCCTCAACCATCAGCTTAAGCTTTTGGTATGAGTTGATACTTAAACATGATATCAAATATTCACAGGCCTCAGCCATCAGTTTAAGCTTTTAGTTGAATTAGGCCTTTAAACAATATGCACGACTATTATTTGTAGACGGAGAGAACTAGATAAACAATTTTTACTCAACCTGATGTTAATTATTCTGCATTGTTGAATTGTTGTAACAGATTGAAGTGTTAGGACGAATTAGACATCCAAACATGGTACTTCTCCTAGGAGCCTGTACGGAGTATGGGTGCCTCGTGTACGAGTACATGGAGAACGGGAGTTTAGAAGACAGACTGTTCTGCAGGAACAATACACCTCCCATCCCTTGGAAGACTAGATTCAAGATTGCAGCAGAGATAGGAAGCGCGCTTTTATTCTTGCACGAGGCCAAGCCAGAGCCAATGGTACACCGCGATCTCAAGCCAGCAAACATCCTCCTAGACGGGAACTACACAAGCAAGATCGCCGATGTAGGACTAGCACGACTAGTCCCACCAGCAGTGGCAAACCAAATAACACAGTACCACATGACAGCTGCAGCGGGAACATTCTGTTACATAGATCCAGAGTATCAGCAAACAGGAAAACTCGGGACAAAGTCCGATGTTTATTCACTAGGAATCATGCTGCTACAACTTATCACGGCAAGACCTCCTATGGCATTGTCTTACCATGTTGAAGAAGCTATAGATGAAGGGACTTTCAGGGAAATGCTCGATCCGTTAATCCCAGATTGGCCTGTTGAGGAGGCCTTGTCACTTGCTAAATTGGCTCTCAAGTGTAGTCAGATTAGGAAGAAGGATAGACCACATTTGGATTCTGTTGTATTGCCAGATTTAATTCGGTTGAGAGATTTTGCATTCAAATCATAATAAGTTGAGGGTGGAAATTGTAACATGTTGTAGCAGAAGTCTTTTGTAAATCAATAAAGATCAGAGTATAAAGTAGGGGAAAAAAAAATGCATGGTTGTTATACTTTTAGATGTACTAGTCACAAAATTGTATAGTGATTATTTTTGAAGTAACTCTCTTAATTAGGCTTTGTTTTCTTCGACTTATATTTATTAACTCTAAATAATTTTTGATAAATATAATTTATTTTAACTAAATATAAATTATTTTTGCTAAACATAAAAATTGTTGCATGACCTTAAATCTTTTTAATTTACAGGAGAACTTATTTGTACAATTAAAATTAAATTTATTGGTTCGCTATTATATTTGTTCTTAGAACTTATTGAACTTTACGGATTAAATCTAATTGTTGATTAAATTAAATCATTCTTGGTGAAATTAACATAATTACACTGAAATGTTTATCCCATTTTCCCAAGTTTGTTCTTTTTTAATAAAAAAAAATATAGTTTTGAATGGAATATTGTATTTTAACTATTTCAACCTCCGTAAAACAAAAATTTTAAAAATTGCATACTGAGAAATCAAAAGTCATAAAAAGTCTACCCAAATTTCACATGACTATGTTTTGAATCATAAAAATCATTAAAGTATTGAATATTACCAATTCCGTTAGATTCTCTCAAGATTTGAATAGGACAAATAAAAATAAATACAAAAAACACAAGAGTTTTTTGTACAAAGTATGAAATTCTCATGAAGAGTTTTTCAGGTAAGCATTTATTTCCAAAAGGGCTACAACAAATCATATCGTCTCTTCCAAATGGCTGTAACAAGATGTGTTATTACATGACGAACATAGCCTATATGAAGGAATTCTTTATTTAATTTAATATGATATGTATTTGTTAAATTCAAATATATTTTGTATATATCGTATGATTTTTTTTTTATGAATTGATTTTACTTTTAAAAAAAGTTAGCTACGTTTTGATTTTTAACATGTCTGCCAAGCAAATACCTAAAAAATAATCATGTTCTCAACTATTTAGGCTCATTTATTTAGTATAGTTACCTAAAAAATATTATGTTCAACCATATAGCCTATAGGACCAAATGTTAGCCACCTTGACCCATATTAATAAAGTCCAAAGTCAGTTGTATATCTTTTACATCACAGGTAAATTAAGTAAGCACTAATTCTCCTTTCAAGTTTCAACGTGGGACAAACACCCAATACCGAATAAAACACCATTGTAGAAGACTAGTTTGATGTAACAAATAATTGTGCGAGTAATATCTTTTTTAAGCTTGCACATAAATACATAGTATATGAATTACAATTGACAAGCTAAGTACTCCGTATGCGACAATGACAATAAAAATTTCAGAATGTCCTAAGTATTTCTTGGAAATGGTTTAAGCTGCAATAATTAAATAGTGGTAGTAAAAAAAAGAAATAAAATGTGTGGACCGTCGACCTTGTACGATGAACTTACGGCATTGTGTCACCTGTCTTAGGATTCTTAGGCCTTTGGAGTTTGGACAACACAAAAAGTACAGTGTGGCTCACATTAACTTCAGTACACCGGTGCAACTATTTGTGGACCGCTTCTCACTTCTTATGCATGTACATTACGAGGCCTTCCCTTATGCTTTTCCGGCCTTCCCCTTGAATAAAGATCCAATGTTTGTAATCTATGTTGTTTTTAATATCAAGACTTGTGGTCGTGATTCTGTAGAATAATTATGTATGCGAGATTTAATTCTTTATACGAGTATATTGCTTCAACTTATTATTATTATACATTTTTTTATGAAAATTTGTGATTTTGATTGCATAGAGTAATGAGATGTGTATGAGATTTAATCCTACACTCTTTATAAGCATTGTAGACTTGATGTCATACTATACAATTAAATTTATTCTCTAGCTAATGATGTTGAATGTAATTGTTTTATGTTAGTACTTCGCGTCTTAGAGATGTCATACGAATTATGAGATCTACAAACATACATCGTATATCTCATGTATAAATCTTTCGTGAATGAGTGGTTCAACACTTCAACCCCACAGGCCCACACCACCTTGTAGCTCAAATAATTCAACATATAATCATCAATTATTGTGAATGATACAAAAACCATGCTTGAAAAAGAAAAGTGATGGAGAAAAGAAGTCCTAACTTACCTTTTACTCCTTTTTAAAAGTTAAATGAAGATAAAACACTGAAATAAAATAGACCAATAATTTCCTTACGTACAAAAATCAATATAAGAACTTCCTAATAAATAAAAGGAAAATAAAAATAAAAATAAAATAGAGAGCCTTGTTGTATCTTTCTCTTTCCCTTTGCTTAATGTGGAGCTACCACAGCAGTAATGAGCTGAGCTGTCCTTGAAAGGACAAGTTCCCTAGAATATAAATTTAGCTTCTTAAATTAAACTTTTATTTTGAAGAATTCTTAAACAAATTTTGTTATGGTTATAATAGATAGTTTAATTTTCAAATATATAACTAGTTAGTACGAATGAAACAATATACTTCGTACTACTTAATTAGTATTCAGTTCACACGAAATGAATTTTTTTGTACCTAAATAAATAAAAAGTAGTCGTAAAAGGACTCGGAATTTGATTCAATGTCATGAATATAGTATCACGGCTTCTCCCTTATTTAAATTTTACCAATCAATTGATATCTATAAGGACAATGCACACAATTACAAATAGATCTCTATGAAGAGGAAATAATAACTATAATAGATCTGTAAAACTGAGTGCTAATTAGCATAATTACAAGTTTGCTTAAAAAATATGATTACAAATGATTTTGTAGTTCATGTCTATGGGACCATGGCTAATGATGCATGCTAAAATAATAAATAAAAGTGGTCAATTTTGACTACACAAGTGGACCATGTGGCTTCTTTTTATGATCAAATCAACCATCAATATCTAGCGACATGCATATGAGAATATACAGGTCTGTAGTCTTTACTAAATGTAACTGTAAGTCTGCAAGTATTGAGCTACTTTAGAGGTCATAGGGTCGAATCGTTCTTACTGTGATACTTGGAATCCTTTCAACTGTGATATTTGGGAGTGAGAATCCTTTACCTTCTCCCGCCCTTCACTTCTAAGTGTTTGGCCCGTAAATACAAGATTAAAAAACTGTGAGGGTTGAAATCTTGTCAAGGTCCACTTTACAAAAAATAAAATAAAATGTTGAACTCCTATGCTCATAATTAAGCTTAGATACATTTAAATAGGTGATAAGAATCGATTCTAAATTATCTTAAAATCGAAAATAAAACTCTAACCACTTGAAATATCCCTCACTCTATATATAAATACAATAGTTCTTTAACTCTATAATCTACAACTATGTATTTTTTTTTCTTTTTTTTTTTTTTTTTTTTTTTTTGTTGTTGTTGTTGAAGGAAGTACTCCATATTTAAAATCTAAAAAAAATAATAAGAAGAAATTCTCCATATTACTTAGAGACGTGGAGTGGAGGGAACTCCTAATTTTTTTTCCATAGTAATATTAATATCCTAATTTAATACTTTCTGAAAGGGAAAATGATATTCTTTCCCTCATTCCAAGGCTAGCCCAACTCAGGAGGAAAAAAAAAAAAAAAAAAAAAGTCAACAAAAACAAGAAATAAATAGAAGTGAAGCAGGTAGTGCAACACCAACTATGCAAATCTGAAATTACTCTAATATATACAAATTCTAACATAAATTATTATTTAAAAAAAAGTACTAACTCCTATAAATAAACAAATAACGCCAGCACTTGGATCAGCAAACTGTTCCCAAGAATTTATGATGATCCATAAATATAATTATTTACACATTACCCCACCTTAATCAACTACACTTAACCAAATCTACATTTCTAGTACTTCTACTTATTCATTTTTCTTCCCTTCTCATTTTTTCCCTCTAAAACTTCTGTCACAAAATATAATCTTTGATTACTTAATTAACAACTTTCCCTAGTCCATTTACATCCCTAGCGCGACGAGTAACGTTACTCGTCGCGTTGCATTAGCCTTTCAATATATAGTAGTACGAGTCACAACACGATAACAAAAAACAAAAAAATGGAGAATTTCAGATCTATGTCATGCAGAGAAGGAAGAATGCAAATGGAGAATTGTAACAACAACAACAATGGAGGTGGAAAATCGAGTGGACCGCCGACAAGTATGCAAGATCTAAGATCTTATAGTACGTCATATGCTTCTAATTATATGCAAGTTCATCCTCAACCTTCAAACAAAGATTCAAAAGGTAATCATAATAATAATGATCATAAGAAAAACAACAAGGGGTTTGGATCAACTTCATATTCGAATTCATCGACGAAAGGGTGGAGTTTAACAGATCCAGAACTTCAAAGGAAGAAAAGGGTTGCTAGTTATAAAGTTTATGCAGTTGAAGGTAAAATGAAAGGTTCTTTTAGGAAGAGTTTTAGATGGATTAAGCATACTTGCTCTCAAGTTGTACATGGTTGGCGCTGATATATTTTATTTCAATTCCTTCTCTTTTTATGTTTATTTTTACTTTTATTTTGTTGTTTATGTTTTAGTATTGTGTTAACGATGAAAATTAAGTTGTGTTGTTTGTATGGTGATGATTATGAAGATGGTTGAAATACTGATGTGCTTTGTTCTTTTTTATTCTTCTTATACACAAATTATTTATTTTGCCTTTTTTAAAAAAAAAATAAAAAATTGTATGACGATATTTTGGGGATAATGCATCTTTGCTAGGTGTTTTGATAATATGTTGATAAGCATGGCCTTCTAAATTAGGGATATCCTGTCAAAGTAAGTTTAGGGTGGACGCCTTCTTAATTCCTTATTAGTATCCGATAATCAATTCAGATTGGATCGTGCTTTTCTTGAACGACTTCGAGGAGGGGTCAAGGTAGGTAAATTTATATGTACTGCATTGATGCAAATCAATATCAACGAACACTCCAAGAGTTTAGTGATAAAATTATACTAGCTTCCTCATATGACGATTAGAAGTAAATTCGTGCATAAAAATTGTATTACGTGTCTCCATTGGAAGCAATATAATAGACTTTATAATTTTTTTCAATTGTACTACTTGTACTTGGGCCAGTAACTAAAATCGAATAAAAAAAAAATTTCTTTTATTTTTTTGTATGGAAAGTGTATCGCGGTCCATAAGACTGTTCCATAAATGTTATGCTTATGCATTGGATTAGGGGTGTTAAAATATTGGTACAGGAAAATGGACTAGGTTAATTAAGGTGTTACAAATTACGACAATAATCAAATGAACATACGGTTGCTTAAGATGCTCTTGATTTAAAAGTTAGACCACAATCATTGAAGCAATTCCTTAGCAAATTTCTTCTAAGAATCACACCAGCATCAGTGTATAGCCAACCTTAATACCCGAAAAATAGCTCAGCTTAATATTGAATTCACTACTAGAATCAAGTCGCAAATCCGTCGGAAATTTCCAATCGAAAATAAGTCCATCGAAATTTAAGTATCTTACGGCGAATTTTTCCGTAGGAAATTGTATTCCGTCAAGAATTTCGTCGGAATATAATATATATAAAAAAAATTACATAAAACCCTAACAATACCCCTCGCTTTCCGCCACTTTTCTTTCCTTTCCCCCTTCTCTTTCTCTCTCCTCTTCTTTCTGTCGTTCTATCTCCTTCTCTCTCTTCTCCTCTTCTTCTCGTTCTCCTTCTCTCTCCTCTTCTACTTCTTCTCTTTCCTCTCGTTCTCCTTCTCAGCTCGTTCTCCTTCTCAGCTTGTTCTCCTCCTATCTCCTCTTCTAGCTTGTTCTCTTTCATGCCTGTTTCTTCTCTCCTATTCCTTCTCTCATCTTCTTTCCCCATCTTTCTAACTACCACCTACGTACCGCCAGCCACTACCACCACTAACACTAACCACCGCCGCAACAACAATACCAACTAACACCGACATGAACCGCAACACCAACACAAACATGAACATCAACGGCAAAAACCGAAGGTTTTTAGGTGAAATTCGACCATGAAAACTCTAAATCTATAGTTTTCATGGTCGAATTGACCTCATTAACCCAATTTCGAGGTTCAATTTCCATCATAAAATTCCTTTTAAAAAGTTCTTTAAAATAAAATCCATTTAATATATTTAATTTATTTAAGAAAATTAATAGAAAATTAGTAAAAATAATTTTAGTTTGGTTAAAATACTTTCAGTTCAGTAAAATAATTTAAGATCAATAAAAATAATTTCAAGTCAAAAATAACATAGATATCTATCTATTTACAATCAAAACTACAAAAATTACACTATTATATGATATTGTAAGTTTAAATATCCTGCATTATTAAAAGAGATTAAATGACCATATTTCACATTCAAGCCAAAAATTTATTCTAAAATTTTATCATCAATCTGGACATCTCCCGGACACAAAACTAGTTATATATATAGAGCATTAATAAATATAACTATTTTCATTCATGGGGCGGCCATGGCTCAAGTAAGACCCCTTAGCTTGGATGAGTTTGATCCGTCCAGTTAATACAATACCATATACAACTTTTTATTTTATTTTATTTTATTTAAATCCAATATATACACAACATATTTTACATAGGGTTTCAGTACATGTACTCCCATATATAATTACTTTCTTATTATACACAATTCCATACGAAGATTATTGTAAATTCAGTAAACTATAGGAAAAGAAAAAGAGAAACTTTAGTTATGATATTTATCAACAAAGACACAAACTTTAATTTGTTGGATCTTGCTTTTGCTTATACAACTCGCTTCTCCTTTAATTTGCTCTAATCTTCGATGATCCTTTCACTGCATGGCAAACGTAATAGTTAAAATTCAGCATGATTGTTATTTGAACCAAATTGATCACACCTTTTTTTTTCTTGTTTTTTTTTATACTATCTTTTAGAGAAACTCCATTTAGAGTATTCAATCTCAGTACAGAATACTGATGAAATAAAACTATATACTCTGATCTCAAATGTGCACGGATTTTAATACTATGGAGCATATCTTTATATATGTATTATTACCTCCATTCTATGATAATAAACATAGTCAAAGTTAATACATTCGTCAATGCACTAATTTAACCTAAAATAAAAATAATGTTGTATTAAAAAAAAACACAAACACATGCAACAACATTTTACATTATACAGTAACATTAGTCTTAGTTAACAATATACTCCGTAGTAAACATATGAATAATGAGAAGTCAATAGTCTTAGTTAATTTAACGATATACAATGTAGTAAACATATGAATAATTAGAAGTCAATGTGCATTAATTATTTATAGAACGTAGGGAAATCATGTATAATATTTGTTTTGTTTGCCAAAAGTTATCTAGCTATGCCAAGAAAAAAGGATTTCATTGAACCTAATTTAAACTAAATTTCATATGGATCTACATTAAATGAATTGAATGCACGCGTTTCTTTAGACATTTGGTTAATTAAGTACGGAGTATATATATTAGGGTAATGATGGCTGCATATAAGCATTTAATATACTTTCATTTTTAGTATTAAGTTGAAAATTTATTGACAATTCACGAGTAGATCAGTGCAATAAATGTTTATTTATTGTCTATCCTTTTCACTTTTAACTTCTTATATGCAGCCCTTAAAGCAAGGGTTGCATATATCTTTTTCCTAAATATTAATGGGGTTTAATAAATGGAATGTAATTAGATTGATTAGCAGCTTGAAGGCTTAAAAACAAGTGATTTTAAACACCCAAAAAAAACAAAGAAATATATCTTTAGTATTAATATATATATGGTAAAAAATGAAAAGTTAAAAATAGAAATATACACAAATAAAGCATATTAAATCATGCATAGTGGAGTGCGATACCTTTGGGGGTTGATGGCTGTTTTGGAGAAAAGAATTAATGTCTGTAGTCTCATCCACTGGATAATTGTTTCTATTATATGTGTTTGGGTCCAATTTAGTCCAATTGGGCCTAGGCATTAAATGATCCAATTAAAAGCCCAAGGTCAAGGTTCAACTCTCCAATTGTGCTAAAGTCAAAGGTCAGCCCTCAAAGCAAGCCAATTGGGCTAAGGCCCAACCTCTCCATGTATGAAGAGGTATAAAAGCCATCAATATTCATACATTCAGGCAGATATTCACAGATTCACATATTCTCATAGATTCCCATACATTCTCATATATTCTCATATACTCAAATAAAGCCTCAAGCAACAAATTCTCTTGCATAGTGTTCTCTTTCTACACATTGTACTGACTTTAGCATCGGAGGGGCCTTCCTCGGCAACACCCCCGAGGCTAGTTTACGTGTGTTTTCTGTGCAGGAAACCTTCGACCCAACATAACTTGGACCGAATCTAGTCTTCTCCGTTTCAGCGGACCTTCGGCAAGGTCCCATTGTTTTCACCCGAAACAATTTGGCGCCGTCTGTGGGGAAGACTTTCAAAAATCTTTAAGCCAAATTTCTAACCAAGATCATCTTGCAATTATCTTAGTAGCAATGGCTAAGAACCGCAAGAGTAAAAGCCTCCGTCAAGGAGCCGGCGAAAGCCTAAAATCCCTACACCATCACCCTCGCCGGACCGGAACTCTCCCAAGGGTGCCAGCTCGGGGGGAGGATCATACAAGGAGGATTCCCTTTCTCCCGTAATTCATGACTCTCATCATAGGCCGAGTCACTCTCGGTCTAGCAGGGGTGAGTCCGATCATAGGACACATTCAGTGCCCCAAAGCCAACCATCGGTTGTGCGCCCTCATTCCCATACTCGGCCGAGGACCCCTGTGACGGGGCCCAGCTCGGAAGAGGTGGCAAGAGCGCTGGCAGTACTCATGGAGGCGATGAGGGCACAAAATATGCCACCACCTCGTGATCGAACTCCTCCGCATACCCGGCATCAGCGGAGGAAGTTAGACCATGATGGTGGGAAGCTTCCTTCCTTCCGGGAACTGGAAGAGTGGGAAGAGGATACCTGGAAGAATGAAAAAGAGAGGAAAAAGAACCCTCAATTTTTAAAAGGATCCTCATCCTCACGACCAGAAATGCATAAGAGCAGCAGCTCAGCTTCTCGGCCAGAATCTACTCACCGAGAACCTGAGACTGTTCGCCGAAGCGTCCTCGACCGACTCGGCGGCAAGGAACCGAGCGTGCGCAGTCGCCTCTCGTTCCCTGCAGCCGAGGCCCAGACTTCCCAGCCGGGGACGAAAACCACTCCTACCTCTCTAAGAGGGCGGAGCGCGGTCCCTTCGGCCAGGAACAAGGGCAAGGCCGTTATGCTACCCGCCAGTTCACCATTCGATCAATGGATACTGGAAGAGCGCGTGCCCACGGTTAAAATACCATCGCACATCACATATGACGGGACCTCGGATCCGAAGGATCATGTGGCCTCGTATGAGACTCATATGCATCTTTGCCCCAGATCCGAAGCGACTTGGTGCAAATATTTCCCAACCACTCTCAAGGGGGTCGCGCAAGCGTGGATCTCCAAGGGAGTAAAGCAAGGCTCCATAACAGGGTGGGATGATCTGTCCTCCAAATTTAGGAGCAAGTTTTCCACGGCAAACCGCCGAGAGAAGACTACTGCAGAACTCATGAGTCTGCAACAGGGGGAAACAGAAAGCCTCCGAGACTAT